TAAGGGTTACCAGAGATGTTTCTGAGGTGTTCGCCAGGTACTTTTAAGATTTAAAAAGTCAAGAAGCGGGTCTGAGAAGCTGTTAGAAATAGCGTCAAAGTAGCTAAGTTAACTTGGCAACACTGGGAGGAGCGCTTCATTTGCAACTCAAGGCAGCGCAAGTGGGAGGAGCAAATAATCGGCTTGTTTTGTTTTTATAATCGTTCAAAACATTTCATTCGGAATATATTTCTATGTCGATGTTCAGAATACGACATCTGATAGTCTGAAAAAAATAATACCTAATTTGGAAAAAATAATACCTCTGAGACCAAATTTAACACTTTTAATGGCCTTAAATTTGACTATTTTTATTTATCACTTTTTAATACTTTTTAAAACCCCGCGGACACCCTGAAAACAGAACGCTACCCTAGATCTTTCATCCTCTCTCCGGCCCACTGGGACAGTGCCAGAATGCCAGATAGGCCAGTCCACACCAGCATCCAAGACCAGTTTGACCTGTGCGGTTCCATTTTGGCTCTCAGACATGAGTTTGTGAAACAAGAGAGGGGTCGTCAATTTGAGCTGAAGCCTTTTGTTTTCACACAGAGGGGGCGAGTATAATTCCTGGAAGAACACTGAGTGCAGAGGGTTAGGTAAAGGCCACGAAGAGCTGCATTATGGCACGAGTTTCATGTCCTCCCTCCTAACCTGAGCATTATTAATCCAGGTGTTTTAATAATGCAACACCCATTTATTATTAACACTGGAACCATGCTGCACACTGTCTGTGGATGTGTGTGTCATGATCAAGATCAAACATGGGCCGGGGGCTTGACCTTTGAAACACACACACACACACACAAGCACGCACGCACGCATGCACGCACGCGCGCACACACACACACACTTGTCTTCTTGTTTGTTACATGCTCAGCTGCTGCACTAGTGTTAAAGAAGCTTTGAGGCACATCCAAACTAAATTAGATTTTGACCTGTGAGGAAGCAAGCTAAAGACATTATTCAGGTGTCCAGGTGCAACAGTTTGTCTAAATATACAGTTTCCAATGAGGTTGCCTTTCAGCGGGCCAGTACTGTAGATCTCTTTCAGGTCACCACCAAGATGCTTCATAAAAATATAAAAATGTTTAAAATGGGATGGAAAACATGACAATTTCTCATGCCATACTGGGGTTAGCTGGGTTGTTACCAGAAGCCACCGGAGCTGCAGCTAAACTTAAAGACAGTTCTCAGCAGACAGATGAGTTTTATAGCTTACATGTTTCCCCCACACGTTGTCACATGACAAGGTGTTTGAGATCGACAGGTGAAACTGGAAAATTAGAATCTGGTGCAAAAGTCCATGCATGTCAGTAATCCGTCTTAGACTGAGAGACCATCTAAAGCAGAGCTGTTCAATTCTGGGCCTCGAGGGCCGGAACTGAATAGCTCTGCTCTGAAGGCTTTTGAGCCCTCTGCAGGTGTTCTGGATTCATCAGCTGACCAGAGTGTGACACTTTGAGTCTAGAATGTTGAACTTTACACAATATTCTGATCGTATGATGTCGTGAATGTGGGGGTTTCATCAGCTGTAGGATATAATCATCACAGTTAAAACAAATAAAGGCTGAGACATCTGGGTTTGCATGAAATGAATCTTAGTTTCACCTTTCAGTTAAATAATGATGTAAATGAACTTTAGCACCAGGTTCTCATTTTTCCAGTTTCACCCGTAATGTCTGAGGCACGGAACTATTTGCTGCAATAACAAGAAACAGTAGAGCCTATGTTCATCGATCTCTTATTCTGAGAGTAGACGTATGTCATTTCCCCTCACACTGAAAAGGAACTATTCTGTGCAGTTTCACTGGGATGATGACTTTTCTTTAGCTGCAGATGGACATAGCAGTTTCCTTATTTCAAATACAAGCAGAGATCTGTCATTGTCTCCTCCGCCTTGTTACCTGTGTTTTCTTCATCACCTTCATTTTCATTTAAATATAGATTAACTTGATTTGCTTTGATGAAACCGAATGAGCTCCGCTCAATCATTCAACAGAAATCACTGAACCAATAGATGATTTTCTCTTTCCTCTTGGAAGCCCATGCTTCCTTCACACACACACACACACACACACACACACACACACACACACGCACACGCACACGCACACACACACACACACACACACGCACACGCACACGCACACGCACACGCACACGCACACACACACACACACACACACACACACACACGCAAACGCACACACGCACACACGCACACACGTTTGGTTCTCACCGGACCATTCTTAAGATAAAACCTTCATGTTAAGCAGAAGCCAGACTCCCACACATTTAAATGACCTCATCTCCTCAAACTCTCAGTTTAAAGGTGCAATAGAGCTCCGGGAGTTGACGTCACTTCTCCCGGTATGCAACAGTTCAAATCGAAACGGCACCATCTTGGCAGGCAGAAGCCCGCAGCTGGACTATTTGTTATTGTCAGAAAACTCAATCAAACAGGAAATATGGTAGATTCCTGTTGTGCCCCAGGATGCAGAACAGACGCGGACGACATAAGGAATGAGCCATCTACAGGATTCCCCAAGATCCAGAGCGCCGCAAACGTTGGATCATTGTAATAAAACGCGCTAGTGACCGGGCTAAAATGAAGCTGTGGGATCCCGAGAGTAAAGGTTTTCGCTTATGCAGCGACCGCTTCATATCAGGTACTTAAACCAACGTTTCCTCAACTGTGTATGGTATTTATTTTAAATGCTTTTATTACGATTCTTAGTGGGCTTCCTAAACTTATTTAGGCGTGGCTTTTTCTGTCTTATTACTCATAGCAACAAGTAAACATCACGTAAAATGTTGCCTCGTGATTTCTGCGTGCTGCCGTTTACGTGTTTTATGATCACAGCAATTAACCGGCTAAGCTGTATTTAATTTTAAGCAATGGTTGATCATTGTCAGATCACACATAAAAAGCACTTTGGATTGCTATTATCTGTCTCACCGAGACAGATCTCAGACAGATCCTGAGACGCTCCTGCCTGACATTTTTACTTTATTCACGGAAAACAATCAGACTAGTGATTTCTCTTGCCGTTCAGTTTATACATTCAAACAGCACATCACTCTATTTAAACTACTTACGTGTAAATCTGTTATTTGTCCATCCATCCATTTTCATCCGCTTATCCGGAGTCGGGTCGCGGGGGCAGTAGCCTAAGTCGAGAGGCCCAGACTTCCCTCTCCCCAGCCACCTGAGCCAGCTTCTCCGGGGGAATCCCAAGGGGTTCCCTGGCTAGGTCCAGTAAGAAGTCCGCTCCGACAGCTTCTGGCATTTTTAAAAAGTATCCCAGGGGCACGGTAAGGGTCGGAGATGTTTAGTCTATTTAATTTCTGACTATATAAAACGATTTCTTCGGTTTTAAAGTGTGAAGTAAACTCCAGATGAAGTAAAATCCAAGCTGATCCCGTTCATCTTGTTTACCTTTGTTGCCTGCCAACATGGCGTCTACTCTCTGAGAGTCACGTGACGTCCGGAGCTCTATAGGAAATGTGTGTCTTGCACTTCGAGCAAACAAATTTTTTGAAAATACACAATTCAAATGTCCAACCCCGTCTCTTCAGGTTTGCCCCCCAAGCTCGTCTCCACAATACAAGAATGAACAATGCTTGTTCTCAAGTTCTGACCTGCTGTTGTTGCCCAATGCCTACACAACACACCCATGATGTAACCATATAACAGTGTAGCTAATATAGTGTGGTGTTTTAATGGTGGAAAAGGAGAAGGTGTTTAGCTTTACTGGTTTATTCTTAACTTCAAAATCACAGCAACTCAATGCCAGCGACAATCTGGGGAAACCCCATAATCAACAGGTCAAAACCTCCAGAACTCACCCTGAGCCCCCCCCCCCTCCCTCTCCCATTCTGCTGGCTTCCCACACACGAGTGTTCAGCATAAATGAGTACACCACACTACATTTGTCAGAAATGCTGCTGAGCAGGGGTTGTTGGCTGTTCCATGTGCCAGGTACAGGTGCAGAGGGGATCAGACCTTTTCGGTTAAGGGCCCTACTCTGGCATCCATAATAAAGAGTTCTAGTTTGGTTTCATCTGACCACAGGGCCTTCTCACAATCCTCTGGATCATCCAGATGCTCTCTGGCTAAACCTTAGATGGGCCTGGACATGTGCTGGCTTATGCAGGGGGACCTTTGGAGCCCTGCAGGATTTTATCTAAAAAACTCTTTGTTACTGTGGTCCTAGCTCTCTTCAGGTCATTGACCAGCTCCCCTCTTGTGGTTCTGGGCTTTTACCTCACTGTTCTCTGGACCGTTTGTGCCCCACGAGATGAGCTCTTGCATGGAGCCCCAGGTTGAGGGAGATTATTGTTGATTTTGGATTTTCTCTATTTTCTAATAATTCCTCCAAATGGTCTCTTCTTACTAAACTGATTTCCTTTTATATACGGGCTCATCCCAGTCTAGTGCAGGTGTACGATCTTGTCCCATGGTAGAAGTTTAGAGTCTGGCTGCCTGAAGGTGTGGACAGGTGCCTTTTATACTGAAAATGGGTTCAAACAGGTACCATTAATACAGGTAACGAGTGGAGGAGAGACGAGCTTCTTACAGAAGAAACAGGTCTGTGAAGGACAGAATTCTTGAAGGGCGAAATACGTATTTTCTGCACCATTATACAAAAAATCATTTAAAAACATTTCACAAAACGTAATTTCCCTTCCATTTTATCTCTCACAGGTGAAATGAATCTTTGAGGAAAATTACAAACCATCTTTTTAAGTGGGACTACTTGCTCAATTCTCAATGATGGAAGCTAAACCCTGCATCAACCCCGCATAACCCTGCAAATGCAAAAATCTGTTTTAGTTTAGAAATAATCCCGGTTTAAATTACGTGGCATGGTAAAAGTAAAAAGAAAAGCTTCACACACTAACACTTAACACCCTCTGCTCCAATTAAAATGCCAATTAAATCTTCTCCAACTCACCAAGAATTGCCAACACAGTGTTGTCCTTTAGCACCTCCATCGACCCTGAGCAGACGAAGTAGATGGCCTGCAGGGCGTCACCCTGCCGGATGAGGAACTCTCCAGGAGCGCAGAAGGAGGTTTTGATGATGAGGGAGAGAGAGCGCAGGCAGCCCCTGCTGGCTGACTCAAACAGCGGTAGTTGAAGCAACTCCTTGTTCAGGTGCATGGCGATGTCAGCCCGCAGCTCATCTGGGAAGTCCTTCAGTAGCTGTAAGGAAGATTATAATTAACCACTCCTTTGTTTCAAGAATATAACACGCCACATCTTGATTAATTCGATTTAGCTTTTGATGAAGATTTAATTTGTGGGCGCCCGTAGTTCTGGTCAGCTTGTACGTCTCTCACATACAACACTGTTGGACTAAAGCGGCCTGCATGAAAGTTTGTTCCCACACCAGATGAGCTGCTGCTGTGATTTCACTCATGCTGATGCAAAGCTGCCAGCTTTTCCAAACCAAGGGGGAATCCTGAAGAGAATTAGGTTTAGCAAAATGACATGATTAGTCTGGCAGAAAAAGTCCAGTTTTAGTCATTATGGGGTAAATGAAGACGCTGAAAATAACCCAGTAGGCCTGTGCTGTAATGTTAGGAATCAGGAATGACAGAAAAATGTGCTTTTATTTTAATCATCCCTTCTGGGAGTTGACTTGAATTCAAAGTCCAAATGAAGAGCATTGCTTTCAGCTGATTTCTACAGTTTTATTATTTAGTCTTTTGCTTATGGCATCTGCTTCCTTATATATACATTTTAACCTGTATTACTTGTATTTATTATATATTTAAATAATTATCATGTTTATAACTGTCTTTCTTTAATCAGTGCATTTTACTTAGTGTTGTATTAATCCATCGTCTATTTTTGATTTGGTCTTACATTAATAATTTTACTTATCTTAATCTTTAGGTTATACCGGTGTTTCCTCTGTGAGGGCCAACGGCCCCCTACGGCTGCCTGGCTGCTTAATGCGCCTCCTCTGGGTGCCTTCTGGCCATGGCTGGGCTGCTACTGACCCTGCTCTTCCTGGTGCAGATGACTCCTTTGATGACGTTTTGTTCTTATTGTGCTGTTCATCTGTACTGAGCCAGTGGTCCCTTCATTGTAGCTTTTGAATGTGTGTGTGTGTGTGTGTGTGTGTGTGTGGCCCCTACTGAATGACTGAGCTTCTCATCTTAGGGAGAGCCCAGCCACCCTGCGGTGAAAACTAATTTCGGCTGCTGTGATCTCGTTCTTTTGGTCACTACCCAAAGCTCGTGACCATAGGTGAGGGTAGGAACGTAGATCGACCGGTAAATCAAGAGTTTCGTCTTCCAGCTCAGCTCTCTCTTCACCACGACAGACCGGTACAACGCCCGCATCACTGCAGACGCAGCACCAATCTGCCTATCGATCTCACGCTCCAGTTTTCCCTCACTCGTGAACAAGACCCTGAGATACTTAAACTCCTCCACTTGGGGCAGGACCTCATCCCTGACCCGGAGAAGGCATTCTACCCTTTTCCGAATCAAGACCATGGTCCCAGATTTAGAGGAGCTGATTCTCATCCCAGCTGCTTCACACAACACAAGAACAATGTGGTGCTAAACATTTAATTCTGGTGCATCTTAGGCAAAAAAATCTGGCCGCTAATGTTTGACCTGTTTGTTATTGCTGATTTATCTTTTATCATGAAAAAATCATGTTTCCAGCTGCTCTGACTGGATTGTTATTTTACCTCAATCTGTCAAAAACAAACAGGTGAAATTTTGGGAAACTTTTTTTCCACTTTAGTAGTTCAGACTAAGTTCAGCCCATACATGTCTGATTAGGCGCCCAACGCAGTTTGAAATGAGTATGTCTGACACAATCCTGTTTTAAGCAGGTTTTACAGCTTGTATCTATGTCCACTTTCACAAGAGATGATTAAGATAAAATCACGATTTCAAATGTGAGATTTTACTTTCAGGACATTTTGCGCAGGCGACAGGCGGATTGGTTCAGCGTCTGCAGTGATGCGGACGCTGAACCGATCTGTCGTGGTGAAGAGGGAGCTGAGCCAGAAAGCCAGGCTCTCGATTTACCGGTCGATCTACGTCCCAATCCTCACCTATGGTCATGAGCTTTGGGTAATGACCGAAAGAACGAGACCGCGGATACAAGCGGCCGAAATGAGTTTCCTCCGTAGGGTGGCCGGGCTCAGCCTTAGAGATAGGGTGAGGAGCTCGGACATTCAGGAGGGACTCGGAGTAGAACCGCTGCTCCTCCGGATCGAAAGGAGTCAGTTGAGGTGGTTTGGGCATCTGGTCAGGATGCCTCCTGGACGCCTCCCTGGGGAGGTGTTTCAGGCATGTCCTGCCGGCAGGAGGCCCCCGGGTCGACCCAGGACACGTTGGAGAGGTTACATCTCCAATCTGGTCCGGGAACGCCTTGGGGTCCTGCTGGAGGAGCTGGTGGAGGTGGCCGGGAGAGGACGGTCTGCAGCTCCCTAGTTGGGATGCTGCCCCCGCGACCCGGACCCGGATAAGCGGAGGAAGACGACGACAACGACGACATTTTGCCCAGCCCCAGTTTATTATGACAGCTTGTAACAATGCGTCCCTGTGCTCTACTCACCTCACTGACGTCTATCCCATTGTTGACTGACCAGGTGGTCTGGAAACACTCCAACATGCGTTGCTCCAAAGTCTTAGGCAGCCGGTGGACCCTGATGAAGTCCTTCAGGTCCTTGGTGCGGGTGTGGTACAGCGAGCGGCGCGAGTACATCCTTTGGATGATGGCGGTCACATTACCAAACACCACAGCATGCATCAGCGCTGAGAATAGAGACAAGTTTTAGTGTGATGGAGAGAAAGAGCTGTGTTCATCGGTCCTGTAACCAGGGTTTAAAATGAGTTACCAACTTTAAATCACATTAAACACCACTTCATATGGATTTCTGCTTTTGCAAGAGTAAAACCCGTTTAGTCCACGCAGGGTCGCGGGGGGGCTGGTGCCTATCTCCAACGGTCAACGGGCAATCAGGCGGGGTACACCCTGGACAGAGAGCCAGTTCATTGCAGGGCAAAACAGAGACACACAGGACAAACAATCACACACACAGGACAAACAATCACACACACACACACACACACACACACACACACACACACACACACACACACACACACACACACACACACACACACACACACACACACACACACACACACACCGCTAAGGACAATTTAGACAGACCAATTAACCTAACAGTCATGTTTTTGGACTGTGGGAGGAAGCCGGAGTACCCGGAGAGAACCCACGCATGTACAGGGAGAACATGCAAACTCCATGCAGAAAGATCCCAGGCCGGGAAGCAAACCCAAGACCTTCTCGCTGCAAGGCAACAGCTCTAACCACTGGGCCACTGCGCAGCCGCAAGAATAAAACAAAAGTTAAATTCATATTAGATTCATATTTATTATTTAGTTCTAAACCTCTCAACCAACAGCATTCCTTTTCTAAACAAAGACACTGTTGCTGACAGCTGCACCCTCAGTTTGGTTGACCGGGATAAACTAGAGTGCGTTCAAAAGCAGCATCAGACAGGACACAGCTCACTGATCCCTTCAGGCAGAGCAACCCGTCTCTGGGTGAGCGCTGAAGCCATTTCTGTAGAACTAGTTCCCTTCTGGATTTTTACATTTTGTAATTTTTGTAAAATTTGTCAGTGAGAACCTTGTGAGAAGCTTGGTGAGCTGTCTCACCACTAGCTCTGGTAACAGCAGCTACATGAATGCTAGCATCACAGTGACATGTGATTATTCAGATATTTGTGTTGGATTGTTGTAGCACCACTGTGGGACAGATAGTGCTACTGTTAAATAAATGTATTCATTTAACATATATTTAAAGAGGAGTAGCCCCATGAGATGCGCCATCTTGTTTTCATGAGGCGACAGAAGGCAGCTAACACCATGGACAATTAATAAAAACGAGAGATATTTAATAATGATAACTATATAAATATCAAAAACTAAAACATTTACAAAACAGTACACACACACACACACACACACACACACACACACACACACACACACACACACACACACACACACACACACACACACACACACACACACACACACACACACACACACACACACACACACACACACACACACACAGAAAAGCTTGAATGGTTCACCCAACCCTCACCAAATTTACAGAATCAAATTACAGTAGTTTAGGAATGAAGCATCATACACATGTTGTGTATAAAAACACCGTAAACAACAACATAATGTTGAAAACTGTTTTACAAAGACCGGAAAATCCCAAACACAAAAACGGTAACAGATAAATGAATTCATAAACTAAAGTTAGTAACACGTGCTGGTACTCTGTAGGTAAGTTAGCGTAGCCTTACGGAACGAGTAAAAACAAGTGAAAGAACGAATGTTTGCAGGAAGACTGCTCCAGTTTTGGGGAACTTTTACATCCATCCATCCATTTTCATCCGCTTATCCGGAGTCGGGTCGCAGGGGCAGTAGCCTAGAGCGAGAGGCCCAGACTTCCCTCTCCCCAGCCACTTGGGCCAGATCCTCCGGGGGAATCCCAAGGCGTTCCCTGGCCAGGTGAGAGACATAGTCCCTCCAGCGTGTCCTGGGTCTACCTTTAGGTCTCCTCCCGGTTGGACGTGCCTGGAAAACCTCACCAGGGAGGCGTCCAGGAGGCATCCTGACCAGATGCCCGAGCCACCTCAACTGGCTCCTCTCGATGTGGAGGAGCAGCGGATCTACTCCGAGCCCCTCCCAGGTGACCGAGCTTCTCACCCTATCTCTAAGGGAGAGCCCAGCCACTCTTCGGAGAAAACTCATTTCGGCCGCTTGTATCTGCGTTCTCGTTCTTTCGGTCAGTACCCAAAGCTCGTGACCATAGGTGAGGGTAGGAACGTAGATCGACCGGTAAATCGAGAGCTTCGCCTTCTGACTCAGCTCTCTCTTCACCACGACAGACCGGTACAACGCCCGCATCACTGCAGATGCGGCACCAATCCGCCTATCGATCTCACGCTCCAGTTTTCCCTCACTCGTGAACAAGACCCCGAGATACTTAAACTCCTCCACTTGGGGCAGGACCACATCCCTGACCCGGAGAAGGCATTCTACCCTTTTCCGAATAAAGACCATGGTCTCAGATTTTGCTTTTGGAAGCAGACCTCCTTCATCCTACAACCTCCACCCGTTTCCTCAGGTCCTCCTCCTCCATCTACCTCTCTGTCCCACCTCCCCGTCTGGTCACTATGGGGAGCAGGGCCTTCAGTTGCTCTGCTCCCCAGCTCTGGAACTCACTCCCTCCTGACCTCCGTAACAGTGACTCCCTCACTCTCTTTAAAACCAGACTCAAAACCCACCTGTTCCGTCTAGCATTCCAATAGTTACTCTCTTTGCTCCAATCTATCTGTTTGTTTTATGCTGTTTTATCTTTTATTGTTGTGTATTTTATCTCTGTCTGTAAAGTGTCCTGTTTCAAAAGGCGCTGTTGAAATAAAATGTATTATTATTATAAAGAAAATCATTATGACAAAAGCCATAATATGAGCTAAAAGGTACAAAATACTCTTTCAGGTACAGTGGGTAGTCAGAGTGGATGCATTTAAGGACAAATTTTAACCAGTGATATTGTTAATAACAATATCAATCATGCTAGGACTAGTAGCACCCACCTAATTGCTAGCAGGAGCTAATGCTTAGTCCTTTGTGTGTGTTCTGGCATTACTGTTGATTTAGTTAACTTAGTTACCTTTTCAAGACCCCGGAGAAGAGTTGGTAATGCTGTTCAGTGCTTAAACACATCTCCTTTAGGTTTGTTGACCTAGAAGTCAGTAGGTTTGAATGTCATGCTTTAGATGTGATAGTTGAAGTTCATTAAAAGTGCAACTATAAACATATGAATCTGTTAATGCAGTAATGTACTGTTATTCCTCATTGTCCTCACAGTGAGCGTTGACATGGTTCTGGGGACGAGTTTAACCCAATACATGCAGAATTCACCACTCACGAGTCAATTAGAAAAATAAAAGAATTTTATTTGAAAAATCAGGAACTGAGGGCGCACGGGATGAGGTCCAGTGGGGATTGCAACGGAACCGCTGCATCTGAGGAGGGGAGGGCAGAGGAGCAGGTGAGTCCAGGGAGGTAAGTCTGAACTAGGAAGGTGCAGAGTAAAGACTTACGGGAAGCTGGGGGCTGAGGAATTGGGGAGGGTAGGTGGAGTGCCGGAATGAATCCAAGAGGGGGTGTCCAGGAGAGGGGGCGCAAGGAGAGCAGGAGAGCTGGCCGTCAAGGAGGAGAGGAGAATGGTGAATGCTGCGTCCAGGAGATTCATGGGGCACAGGTGAGTAATCCAGCGGGATCGTGGAAATGTCCAAGTAGTCAATCAGAGGAGCCACAGGAAATCCAGAGAAGCTCCAGAAGCTTCAGAAGTCCAAGGAGATCGTGAGGAGTCAAGGTAAGGTCCACAAATGATCCAAAAATCCTGGGAACAGGTAAGCACAAGTATATCCACAAGGGTTCTAAAATCCAAAAATCACTAGAGTTAACCTGGAGACAAAGGGCTGGAACTACCAAGTTGTAGTTAATCATCCTGCGTTGAGATGTGTTCTCCTCCTCCTCTTACAGCTGGACCCGCTGATTGTTAATGAGCTGCAGCTGGAGCCTCCCTCTCCTGAAACACAGCAGCTCAAAGATGGAACAAAAATGAGAGGAGCACTCACCCCGGCGCATGACAGTACCCCCCCCCCCAAACGGACGCCTCCTGGTGTCCCAGCAGACGCAGCCTCGTAGTCCCGGATCAGGGACGGGTCTTCAATAAAGTAGCGGGGGACCCAGGAACACTCCTCCGGGCTGTACCCCTCCCAATCGACCAGGTACTGGGTGCCACAGCCGCGGGACCGGGAATCCAGGATCCTGCGAACCATGTAGACGAGGCCCCCCTTGTAGTACCGCGCAGGCGGCGGGGGAGCCGGCACAGGACAGAGGGGGCTAGAACCCACAGGCTTGACCAGGGAAACGTGAAAAATCAGGTGAATCCGGAGCGAGCGTGGGAGCATTAGTCGAACCGTGGAGGGAGTGGGGACCTCCAGGATCTTAAACGGGCCTATGAATCTGGGAGTCAACTTACGAGAGGTGGCCTTCAGCGGGATGACCTTAGACGAGAGCCATACTTCCTGACCGGGGCACAATCCGGGGCCGGACGTCGCCGGCGGTCCGCCAGCCGCTTGTTCCTGTCAGCCGTCCTGTCCAGAGCGTCCCGGGTGGACGCCCACGCCCGTCTGGCCCCCCAGAGAAGCCGAGGGACCGAAGACAGAGCCGAGGACTGCTGGGGAAACAGGGATGGCTGGTAACCTAGAGAGGCTTCAAATGGAGACTGACCTGTAGCGGTAGAAACGTGGCAGTTGTGGGCGGACTCCACCCAGGCGAGGTGAGAGCTCCAGGAGGACGAGTGTGCGGAGCAGATTCAGCGCAGCATGGCCCCGAGCTCTTGATTCATGCGCTCACATTGTCCATTCATCTGTGGGTGATATCCGGAAGTGAGGGAGACCTTAGTCCCCAGAGCCTCTGCGAACTCCATCCATAATCTCGAGATGAATTGAGGTCCCTGATCTGAGAGAATCTCCTCTGGAATTCCATGCAACCTGAACACATGCTTAACGAGGAGTTTAGGGGTACGAGGTGGCAAGCCTTTGAAAACCTGTCCACTAAGGTGAGGATGGTTGAAAAACTATGTGAATCAGGCAACCCACAGACGAAATCTGAGGCTATGTGTGACC